TTATTTTTCCTCAAATATATAAAGAAAAACACTAAAGTGATTCAATTAAAAAATATGGTTATTTATACTTGCAGCAGGCAATCTGTTGTGTATGAACCAAAGCCAACTTGGCTGTATTTTGGAATGTACTCACTCAGTGTTTCAAACCAAGTACCAAACAAATTCATGTAGCCAACAGACACTTTTACTATTAAGTGATAATGTAATAATCTGCTTGAATTACAGTAAAACACTGTTACTCTGAATTGGCCTAATTTTTTTATATCAAGTCTAGTTTTTCCCATACATACAGCTCTTAATGTTTTACAGAAAAACAAAAGTGAAGACACTATCCAAAAATTTAAACTTCAGAAATTTAGATGAAAATAAAATGAAAGGAAAGGCAAATTGCCAACTTCCCTTCACAAAAGACTGGAACAGTCTCTGCAGTAATATACGACTACATGGAGTCAAGGTCTTTTCTGCTTTACAAATCCCTAGTGCTTGGATTTAAATGTGTTAACATTTCACAACTAGATTCAAGCATTTTAAGTTGAATAATACTACTGAGATTATCATAGATGATCTCTTCCACTTATGTCCCAAAGATTTATATATATTACTTGGTAATTTAACAACAGGCCATAAGTCAGAAGAAATGAAAAAAAAATGTTTTATAGTTGTGGGATAAAAGAGTAATATTCAATTATAAAAGGTGACCATGTCCATGGGTCTTAGATAAGGTCTAGTATATTGGATGGGCCCAAAGATGAGGGTTAGGGCAAAGATGAACCTAGAGGGATTACTTATACACAGTGGACCAGCTCCATCAGAAAAAACTTTCTGGGTTGGTTATATCAGTTTTGCCATAATTATTAAAATAATTCACATTTGCATAGTTGTACTAATTTAAAACACATGTATAGTTATACATATAATTTCTTTATTCTTAACGAATAAAAAAACTTGTAGCTAGCAAATCTGAGACACAAATCTCATTTTTCTAATTCATTCCTATCACCAAATCAATGATTCTTAACTTTTATTTTTTTAAATATATAGATGTTTCTGTGATTCTAAAGAAATACAATCTATGGACCCAATTCCCAGGAAAATGCGTACCACTAAAATTTTGATAGCAATTTCAGGGCATTCAAAGACCTTACATTAAGAGCCCTTACTGTAAGTAGATCTGAAACTTCTGGAAACCTCTGCACTTATATTTTTATTTAGGTTTCCTTGGTCCATGACTGAGGTAATACTATAAGCCGAGTTATACATTCCCGAAAGGAAAACTCAGCTCAGGACCTAGAGTCCATTCAGAGGCCAGTGAAAACTAAAGTATAGACTAGCTT